GGGGGGATTGGGGGAAGCTGGAGAGGGTCCAGCAGAGGGTGGATAATAAAGATGGTCAGGACCTGGAGGGGCCGAGGAGGCTAAGGAGGGGAACAAGAAGCTAAGGGGCGAACTAGTAGCAGCCTACAACTACTTGTAGTCTAGTTTGATGGTGGCATTGAGCTCTTGGGTTTTTTTTTTTCCTGGTGGAGGAAAGGTCTTGTATGTAATCATTTATGAGCCATAATCAGGTGATTCTTGTGTAAACTAGGAAGCGAAAACCATCTCAGTCTTTCATTAGAAAATGGATTTCCAGGCTGTATTTATCCTTGCTTGTATTTTTGGAACACTTTTCCACTTTTGAACATCTGTTTTGAAGCACACGCACTGCAATAGCACCTGCTAGTCCACCAAAGCACGTGCACAGACAGTACCACCTACTAACCCCTGCTCAACACGCCCTGCTAGAGCATCCAAGAATCACCTCATCCTTGTAATTCAGAGCACCTCACTGACAGCTGAAGTCCAACTGGTTGTGTAACCTGGCGTTGACTTTCCTATTGGAACAGGATAAAAACAAATCCCTTTCAATCACTTTTCTGCGTGCAGCCTCCCAAACTTACAGCTGCAGACATTTATTATTGCTACGTTGTGTTAAACATTATTTAATACGGTTTGTCCAGTCTATCAAGTTTATCCCAGTAGTTTTCAATGACTGAGCTTACCTTATCATTAGGCTGCAAACTTTTACATTCATTCCAACTGTGCCACCAGTGATTTTTATATCTTTTTGCATATCCTCATAAAATACATTGAATAGACTTTGAGATAAGAACAGTATTTGGGAGAACACCAAGAAACTCTGCATCATTTGACGAAACCAAATCCCGTTCTCGCGCATAAAGAAAAGCTAAAAAAAAAGAGGTGGGCACTGGATCTGTAAAGGGACTTTCACTCTCAAATCCAAATTTTACATGTCTAAAACACCTACTCAACTACTACAGAACCTTGGCAGGAGTTCAGCTCCGCGCATGTTTACCTTTCAAGTACGCCAAATCTTGCCAGCAGCTATACTTTAGCAGGGCTCCCCACCCATGCATTTTTTAGTATCTACTCCAGTAAATTGCATCTAATGGTCTGAAACTTGCACTAAATGCAGCCAGGAGGAGGTAAGCATGTTCCACTTTCCCATAGCCCAGTGATTTGAAGTCTTGCCTAAAGTCTGGGAATCTGCCACTCGGTGCATTCATCTGCCGAGTTTGCAGTGGTGATTAAACCCAGCTCTCCCTCCTCCACGGTGAGAGTTTTAATCATGCAGTGCTTTCCCTTATGCCCATCTCAAAGCTGCTTCTTTTTCTGCAAGACAGTCAGCCATCCCTGGCCAAGACCAAGATCGGCATGAAATCTGGCAAAGGGAGGGATGTGGGTACCAGCCATCCTCCAGTGGACATTTCAGTGTGTCACAGAGTCGGGATAGTGCCAAAGGGAGAGCTTGTGACGCTTGCCACAGAGTCCCATCACCTTGGAGCCGAGACCCTCATTTTGAGAGTCAGCTTCGAATTCCTGCTCCAAATTGGAGGAAGCATTGAAACCTCTTCATGCAGGGTGTGATAACGAGCGGGACATGCTGTAAGCATGTTTGTTATGCGGAAGCTGTCCTGTCCGAAGCAGCCTTGATCCCAGTCCGTGTAGGAGACAGCTCCTTCTAGCTTGCAGGGAAGGCTCTAACTCCCAGAAATGGATGACTGAGCAGCACCTTGCATCGTCGCTCTATCCTGTTAGCTACTTTTGGCAGTTCCTAGCTCACCATGCTAGGATCCCAGACTCTCCTCCATTAGCTGTAAAGAAATGCAGGGCACCTCAGCGAGGCTCCACTCTACAGTGGGGAACCTTAACACTAATCATAGCTATACTTACACTGAACTTAAGTCTGTTTTGTGAACATTGCTCAACGTGCCTGTCACCTTTCAGGATTATTCCCAAATTTCCTACGGAGTTTTTAAAAATTACAGAAATAATTCTGTAGGAAAAAAAATGTGTTTTCTCCCATTCTTCCTATGGTAAAAGCGAGTCTTTTGGTTTTTTTGAAGAGCCTCTTGGAGTAAAAGAACACTACACCAGCCATGAGTATGTGTGAATTTCAGTCAAAGCGTTAAAACTTCAAGGAAGGAACAAGCAACTGAAATTGTTCATTTGAATTTTTAAAGCATGATAACATGGCTCAAGTTCTTGTCTATTTTAGTAGCAATAAAACCTCTGTTAGTATATGTTAATGATGAAGGCAGAGAAATAATTGTCGTCAGGGAGATGACATCAACTGATATGAGGTCCAATATTGCTTAATACTGTTTGGTGCTTTTTCTGTTTGTGTCACAGTAAGTAGAAAAATAATTGCTAATAAAAATCTGAAAATAATAGAAAGGTTAATAAAAATAAATAAAGACAGCCATAATGACAGCCCTGTAAGTTCAAGCCCAGTCAAATGAAATGTGTTTGAGTATAACCAGATAAAAGGGTGGGGGAAGGTGATACTGGGAGTTACAAACAGCAAAGGAAAGATTATTTAAGAGATTTTTGTCTTTGTATAACTGCGACTTGTAGTAATACTGGGTGCATCTCTGGTGCCCATATTTTTTAAAGGAGACGGAAACACTGGAGAATGAACAGAAAAACATCCACAAAAGTAATTAGAGTTCTTCAGAAAGTTAGAGTGAAAGATTTAAAGGCAAAAATACACTGAGAAACTACTTGATTACTGTGGCCAGTAACTTCATGTGAGAAAATATTGAGTGCTAAAATTTATTCGACAAAGGTTTAACAAGACCCGTCTAGATGTTAATGAGAACTTTCATTGGAAATTAAAGCCTGGCCTATTCAAATTCAAACTTTTCCTTTAGCTAGCATGATCAAGGGACATTTTTGGATGTCTTCAAATCGAGATTTGATGCCTGTCTCCCTTTGCAAATAAATTATATCACCTTAGAAACGGGGTAAAATTCTAGGCAAACCCTCTGTTTTGTGTTGTACAGGCTGCAGTAGTACAAACAACATCCATGGATGCATGAACATACAGTGTAAGGTAGTATTTTCTGTTAGATATATAATAAAGGGAACTCATTTTTACTTTATAGATAAAGGCTTTGTAAAAATATTTTTCTAAAAATAGTTTTTTTCTGTCATTTAAGTACATGCATTCAGAGCACCATCATCACTATTAATCTACATTGTAAGTAGAATAACCTCTTCTAAAAATGCTCATTACACAAGGTAGTTTCCTTAAGTAATTAAACACATTATTTACTAATGAACCTTGAAAGCATGAAAATGTCATCTTACTCTGACCACAAGCATTTCCTATTTGCTCATTCATATTAGCTGTGATCCAGAATTTTGACAAAACATTTTCATGAATGAGTTACACTTTTTCCAAGTACCAGAAATTTTATTTCTTAAGAAAATATGGTTTAAATAATCTCCTTACCATGAATATTGACTTAAACCTTTATCTTTTGTTACAAACATGTGAAGTGATCCCAGATTGATAATGTGGTTCTGGGAAAATCACTGCTGGATAACCGAAGAGGAAGAACAGGAGGGTTTTAGGAGTCATTCAGTTCTTCCTCGAGTGATAGTGACTGCACTTTCGACTGCCGCTAGTTTTCTGATTTACTAGTCAATTTACTACTCCTTTTCCATGACGACATCATAAAAAGTATTGATCTGATTTTTGGACAAGGTAGTAATTTGATGGAGCGTATTCTAACAGGTTTTTGATTGTATTGTTCATATATTAAAAAAAAAGATTATGCTCATTATTAAAAAATGAACAATTTTTGTTTCTCATTGTTACCTAAAATAAGATAACAAAGGGGCCAGAACTGAGGCACTACTCCATAGCAATACTGACTTAAGAGTAGCTTTGCTGACTTGTATCTCATGAGGATCTCTTCCACCATTTGCAACTTTTCACCCTTTCTGTGACTTCTGCATGCAGCATTTTATAGCATTCTTCTAGTATTATGCAGTGACAATTTTCAAAATGAAAGAGAGAGAAAGAGCTCGCACACGAGAGAAAACAGTGTACATCCAAGAGCTGACTAGCTGTTTTACCTGGAACTGATGTCCGAGAAGGAACGGGTGGTCTTTCCCTGGGTAGCAGTGCCACGTCCGCATAGGTGATATCATCCGCCATTGATGAGCAAGTCCCTCTGAGTTATGGAAAGAGGTGGTTTAATACAGTGGGTTGCATCCTGTATTAGCTTTGCCTGCCTCCAGAAGTATACATACGCCGTGCTATGGCTCTGAGGAAGGCTGAGAAACAGCTAAAAGGAAGTTACGTCTTTCAATACAGCTGCAAAGCCTATTTTCAGCCACCATTCTGTCTCTTCTTGTGTGATCTCTTGCCCTTCAGAATACAGGAGAAAATGAAGATTAAAAACCATTATTTTTATTAGAATGTATTAAAAAAAATTATTTTTGGTCAAAGCAGAGCAAACTTTCTAAGGAACACCCAAAAATGGACTTACACAGGCACAAAAGCTTTGCCGGTTCTCACGAGAATAGCTAAAGCAGTACAATCTGTGTTGTGGATGTATTATGCTCGTGTGCGTGATCTTACATAGTCTAGTCTCCTAAAACGAAGATAAACAAGATATATATCTGTGTAAGATATTTTGGGGCTAATGTAACTGCAACCACAGTCAGAGCTATAAAAATGTGACTCAAATTCTAACCTGCTTCACCCACCAAGTACTATAAAGGTTTAACAACTGAATTTAGATTATATTAATAAAGCATTAAATTTAACTCAAAATTAAATTCAAAGTAATATGATCAATGCCTTTTAAAAGAAAGTTTCAATACTTTACTCTAACAGCAGTTACGAGGACCAGAGCTGCCATTCCTAAATTGCTTGAGCTATCCCCTGCTTGACCCAGCAACTCCACAGGCAGAAAGCCTGAGTTGCCTTTAACTCCTTTCTCATGGCCCATGTCTTTGCTGCAGGATATTTTGATGACAGTGGTTTTGCCTTCTGTTTTGGGGAAAAAAAAGAAAACCACAAACAAACCAAAAATCCAAAAGCCCCACAGCTTTGAATTGAAACTTAAAGCCCTTCTAAAAACCTAAAAACACATTTCAGAACACACAGACACGAAGCCCTGTGCGTGCACAGTTCTGACATTTCCTGCTAAGCGCTGTGGTGTTGGTTTTGTGCTTTATTCCCACTTAGAAAACTCCTTTGGAGTTTGACACGTATAGACTCTACAAACCTACACAGGTCAATTGAAAACAATGTTTCTATTCTGTGATACAGCCCATTTGCCTTTTCTGTTACATTCGATGGGACTTAAAACACTCTAGATTAAAATGAAGAAAAATTTGCTTTTGTGATCTTACATGACTGATCTTTTCGCTTCCTACTTTCAACGTTGGTAACAGTGTTAAGCGCAGAAACAAAAAGGTTTAGGGGAAAAAAATTAACCTTTGATAGTCATGGAACAGATTACTCAGAAGTGCCGCTCAGGTACAATGTGTATGCAACATATCTAAATCATTGTTGCTCTATCAGCCACAAAGTGATTAGTATGCAGATGTGGATACTGTTAACTGGATACTGATAAGGTTTGTTTCATGGCAACCTACATACCAGCCAAATGACTGGTCCTAACATGAAATAAAGCATTTGTCCTCTGATTGAATCAGTTTCCATTGCTTTGCCCTGAACTTCTCCCCATCCTTTACAACAGGATATTTAGGCTCTGAAATGGAAAAAAACCCAAACAAACAAACAAAAAAACCCAAAAAACCCAACAACAATAAAAAACCATGCAAACCAAAACCCACTTTCCTTATCTGGGTTTTTTTTTTAAAACTTTAGTCCATAAAGGAGAGCTAGAAGGCCAAACGGGTTGCTTGAACTCTCAGTCTCTCTTTCCATCACTGCATACACACCTAAGCAGTCTTTTCTCACATCACTCTCTCCTAAATGATTCAAAACCATCAAGATGTAATCATGTATAGGCAGTGTAAGCATGGGTCTTTCTGAGCTAGTGGAAAAAAACAGTGTTCTATTTTAAGGGAACATGTCTCTCCTCTCCTCTCCTCTCCTCTCCACTGAAAAACACATTTTCAGACACGAGTAATCTCATGTGCGGTGCAGACCAGGCAATTACCTCCTTTGTGACCTAGCAGATTCTCACTTGCCTGAAGAAAATGACGAACGCACACAGTTATTTTCCAGAGCAAACTTACAAAACAGCCATAAGCGGTTCTCATTTTGGATGTGCACACACTGTGCTCACTGTTAGGACTGATAATGAAAAAGAAGGTGAATTTTAATTTCTAGAAGGAATAGGTGAGTAGAAGTCTTTGCAAGGCATTTTTCTTTAATTCTTTCTATCCTACTGAAAAACTGTGATTTTTTCTTACTTTTAAAAAGGAAATTGCACTGCTACAGAATTTTCATTTGAGAAGTAATTTCTTTAGTGTTAATACTTTTATCTCTCTAAGTATTTTCATTATTTTCTTTGTTTTCATCTTAAATTCTAGCTTTATTTATGAACACCCAGATGTGGGTCACCAAGTCTGACCCACTGACCTTTCAGTGCCAATAGCACTTTCAGAAGAAAAAATCCAGGCTGTTATAGGAAAAGGCCATCATAGAACCAAGAGATATTTGTTAGCAAAATGACCCACGGCTCATAAAGATGATGGAAAGCCCCCTCTTTCCTGCCCATGTGTCTGGGGGTGGCAGTTCCACTCAGATCAACAAGTCACGTCTCCAGCGGTAAGCAGCACTGCCAGCCAGCATATCACCAGATCATGGGGAGGAAGGGACTTCTGGAGGCCTCTAGTCCAATCCCTGCTCAAAGCAGGGCTAATTCCACGGGCAGGTGCTCAGGGCTTTGTCCAGGCAGGTTTTAGAAATCTCCAAGGACAGAGATCCCATGGCCTCCCTGGGCACCTGTTGCAGTGCTGCACCGCTCTCACGAAGGAAGAAATTTTTTCCTTCTGCCTGGTCACAGTCTCTGGGCTGCAACATGTACCCATTGCTTCTTGTCCTTTTGCTATGCCCCTTTGAGAAGAGACTGTCTCTGGCTTCTCTGTAACCATCTTGTAGGTTATCTAACAGAATACTGCAGACAAGCTAAGAGGCTAACGTTAAATTTTATAAAGCAAGCCTCTTTCACTATGTGCTATGTGTCTTAAAATAAATTGTTGGTATTTCTTGTAAATTCCGCTAAATGGAGTTCTGCTTTGTTTAGACAGTGTCACAGCTGCACTTTTACCATGTGACTATCTCCAGAATGCGAACACACCTTTTGCTTGAGACAACACGCTGCTGTCTACTGGTGTATTTTGCAGAATAAATGCTTCAGAAGCAGAGCCTGGTTCAGCCTAGTCATTCCCCCATTGTCATCTTTTCACATCTAATCATTCAGATGTCATAACCTTTTTGGTTTGTTACTCTTGGGGAAAAAAGTTGCTCAAATATGAAAACGCTTCTTCAAAAACCTAGGTCACAGCTGTGATCTGGGTTGTGTATCCATGTGGCCTAACTTCTCCCAGGATCCACCATCACCTCATGTCTTTTGACTTCACCAGGTAGAGCCTTGCCTCACCCTCTTCTTTCCTCCCAGCCACCTGGTTAATATGCTTAGCTTACAGTACACGAACGCTGGTGAGGCCAGTAAAACAGCAGGGCTTGCTGTGCATTAGTCAGCCACATGTCGGGGAGCGAGGGGAGTGATTTGTCAGCCTTGAGTTTTCAGACTGTTTGCCAGAGTATGGAGATATCTGGTGGTTCAGACATTCTTGCAGCATCTGCTGCCTCAGGGAAAGATGGTGGGGTTGTTGTCTAGGATTCCTCTGCACATCATTTAGAGTTTGGCAGTCTGGAGCTTCAGCGGCTCTGTTGAGGTAGGCAAATGAATGCGAGCTCACGCTCTTCCCCATCTTGACACGTGTTCCTGATCGCACATAAACACCTTCTCTGCTTCTAACCATCATGCCTCAGTAACGTCGCTTACTAACGATCTGGTGTTAGCACAGTTACCAGTTCCAGTCACGCACAGAGTAAATGTGGTAACAACTGCAGATTACACCCCTTCTGTGGGTGTGACAGCGTGTCCTTCATTGCATGAGAAGGTAAATGTAGACTGAAAACAGCGATGTGGGCTGCAAAGCAGAATTCAGCACCTTCTGCCACAGAACAGGCAGCTCAGACCAGGGCTCCAGCTGCCTCATGGTGCACATTTTGAAGAACTTGAACTGCTGCTCTGACAACAAAATGGACCTTTCCACTTCCCGAAGCCTGAGCTGCAACACAGAGACTTCCAAACTACATTGAGTGAATCCCATGAGTACATCTCCAGTTTGGGTTTCGATTCTAAACCAGGTGTCACAGCAGAGCCTGTATGTACAATGCGGTGCAAAAGCAGCACCCAGAAGACATGATCAGAGCTAGGGCTACAACCAAAGACACTTCCTGCCATAAATGAAAGGCTGTGCGTTGTTATCCCACACTGCAGCAAAAAAGATGTCATCTAAACAGGGCAAACCCATGAATTTACCAAGAAAAGGAAAAAAAAAAACCCAGAGCTCAGTGAAACAGCAGTGCCTGCAGATTGCAAGCTGAGTATTTCCATGCTGGCAGCTTCATGTTCAGCAGGTGGGACTTCGAGTAGGTGGGAAGCAAACAGGGCTAGAAGCCTGTGAGATGGGTTTCTTCTCTATGCAGGGTTTTGGGTTTTTTTGGGGGCATGTCAACTCTTTTTGAATTTCAGTTTAGTTCCCAAAGATGTTGCTGTGTAGATTATTTATTCTGAGTGCCATGTATTCCCTTGGATGAATTTTTCAGTGTTAAGGCAGTGGTGGATGAATATGTGGGAAGAACAATGTGCTCAGTCTCCTGAGCAGTTTGGTGAAGACATGTCGGCTAGTGAACACCCCTTCCAGCACACTGCCATATTGCCTTTTGCCTTTTCCTGCACTCTCGCATACTGAGTTAGTGTCGTGTTTAACCCCAGTTGGCAACTAAGCACCACACAGCTGCTCGCTCACCCTCCCCCCCCCAGTGAGATGAGGGAGAGAATCGGAAAAGCAAAAGTAAGAAAACTCATTGGTTGAGATAAGAGCAGTTTAATACTTGAAATAATAAAATAGTAACAACAACAACAATAATAAATTGTA